AGACCAAACCATTTCATCACTCACTCACCAAATTGCCGACCCAATATCTATTGAAGTGGCAAAAATTTTGTAGACAAATGATATTTCGATATTATTGCTGCAGCAGATACAAATACCAACATTATTATATTCCCAAACGTTTGAACCTTTAAATTAACTAGGAAAGTCAATCCCCAACTTGACTTTTACTGTTTTAAACAGATATGATGATATCACAATGCTGGCAAGCATTACCGTCGCCCTTATATTCACAATACTATTTACCCCCTATACTAGTATATCCCCTTTATTGTTTTCCAGGCATTAAGACTCATCGAAAGTAGTTCAGCAGGCATATTTAAGTTTAAAACATTCTAATTCAATGTTAAAGATGACAGGAATAAGAAATAGTTATGTGGAGGTTTTTAAGAAATTTGCGCAAAATACGCGCCAGCATGTTATACGAAATTAGGTAAAAAACCCAAAATCGCCATATTCAGGTGCCTTAAAAACCATGTTAAAATTGAGTTAGAGATATGAAACTTTGCAGGGCGTCTAGACCTTGTCCAAATCGACTGTAAAAAAAATTTCATGTTTCAGGAGTATCGGGAAGTGGGTTTTCTGGAACCCCTGTTTTACAACAGATTGTCGTGAAGATATATATATATATATATGTATGTATAGACGCTTTTTGCAGTCAATTGTAGCCTACATTTAAGTGTCCGTAGATTCGAAAGTATAAATGATACAGTCATCTCGAACCACAGGTTTTGAAGATAATCGTTTAAGCTTTAGTTTACATTGTATTGAAAAATAATTTAACTTCATCATCATCACTTGATGACGTCATCAAGTTAAGTGTTTTTAAAACTTGACTTTTGACAAAGTAACAACTTTTCAAATCGATTTTACACTATTAAGAAGTAATTTTATTCAAAATCTGAGGAAATTTTTATCTTAGATAATTGTTCAAGCATTCCGAAAATCTACCGGAATAGTTTCCTACCTTGCTCCTTCATAAAGATATTTGCTATTGAAGTTAGTGCTTTTTTGAAGAATAATTTTATAAAAACACAAAAGTTGTGAATTAGTATTCTCTGGTGTTGGGCCATCCCTTGGGTTGTGGAGCTCAATTTTGCTTCTTAAAGGTGTAAATTGTGTTATAGGCTAGTTTTAAAGTTAACAAGAATTTCGCCGCGGTTACACCACGCACGATTAATTTTCCCTGCTTAAACCGTTAATATTTGCAACGCAATATTTTCATCGTAATTTGTCATTGCGCGCGTGCAGGATTGCATGTTTGATGTTATCGAATATTTAGACGCCGCGCACAAATTTTGGGCTAATTTAATTTGAACGGCATCGTTTGACAATTGAAATTCGCGTTGGATACTGCAATTAACTAACACATGCTGAACGTCACGCGCAGCATAACAGACGCTTCCTATACACTTAATTATAGGGGAGTGGTCTATATTGCGAAGGAGCAGACTTTTGTCGTCACCGCAGGTCCATCGGGATAGCTCATATATCCAAACCCGATTACTTATTCCCTACGATCTTTTTGCCTTCGGCAAGAGCAGGGAAAAAAATCGAAAAGTTGCACACGTGGGGACACGCCCAAACTGATTTAAAATAGCTAAAATCACTAAAAATTTTGATTTTCACGATTTTTATCAACTTTGGAGTCCCGTTGTGATCCAAGTTCTTTTTGAAATCTTCTGAAACTTTGCATGCTTATCAAACCATATATTAAATACCACTATGCAAAAATTTACGGTGATTCAATATTGTATGCGCACGCAACGTCCGCTCAAAGTTTGCACGTGCGAAAGGTGAGAATTTTGCTCATTCGTGATTTCGAATATATTCTGCTTTCCACGATATTTAAATGGCATTATATATGAATTTAATGCAAACTTGAATGAGTAAAAAGTGCCATATTCAGTCGGTTATCGACAGATATACCTAACTAAACACAAGGAAACGTTTTCAAAGGCAGAATTTCGAAATCGTCGAAATTACCTCCTTGTTAATGAAGTTTCGACTGTGTAAATTATCCTGACATTATAATCAAAAAGAGATGATATTTGACCAAAACCCATAATCATGGGTAGAGTGTACCGCTGCCAGTGTCTCTCTTTTCCAAACAAAAGGAAATGATATTAATTTAAGGAACCGTCCGCTAATGCAAATTGATACCGAGAATGAAATCGGTCGCTCGATTTTTCCATTCGATCACGGCTTACGAATTGTAATAAAGCTTATTGATTTGAAAAAGCGAGCGACCGATTTCATTCTCGGTATCAATTTGCATTAGCGGACGGTTCCTTAAATTAATATCATTTCCTTTTGTTTGGAAAAGAGAGACACTGGCAGCGGTACACTCTACCCATGATTATGGGTTTTGGTCAAATTAACTTAACTTATTATTATTATTTTTTTTTGTTTACATACTCCTTCTTAGTGTGGTGACTTGGGGTCCATAAATATAACAATACAAGCTGATAAACCAAAAAGAACAACTGGGGTAGGTAGGTAGCCCTGGTGGGTGCGTAAACTTTACGGTCTGCTCTCTCCAAGATCAGCCTGCTTCTCCATTTTACCGTGAAGCCTAATTTCTAGTTTTTATAAAATATACAATGCAAGTGCAGGTTTACCAATCTTAATCTACTTAACAACTCAATAGCCCAAGTCACCATACCCGTAGTATATTCCATAGTAATAGAAGAGCTTTAAAGTTTTTCAAATTGTTGCTATAATTGATTTAAATAAAAATTTGTTGTTTTCTTGCCACTCGACGCGCCACACAATTTATTTCGTTGCTCGTCGCACGTCGACGAACAACGCGACGAAGCTCGTTGCGACGTGCCGCGCAATGAGCTGCCAGGCTAGGACATCGTCCTGGTCCAACAAATTTTGGCGAGCGATTTTCTCCAAAAATTTAATGAGGGCGCCGACTTCCACTCTAGCTAGGTTTCTTTTTACCCAGCGCGCGTTCTTTAATGGGATATGAGGTAAAATTAGGTAAAAAGAATCCACTGACTTGGCCAGAGTGCTTTCATAAAACTCTATTACTAGCTTGGCGTTGTAGGATTATATAATTTAATTTCGGATCGAGTGAAGCGAGTGATACACATTACTTTCATTAAACGAGCTTCGTTGTTCGTCGACGTGCGACGAGCAACGAGAAAAATTGCGTGGCGCGTCGGGTGGCACATCTTAACGGGTGATACGCGTATAAATTTCGATCGCTGACGTACAGCGAACATCACAGCTGCGAGTGGCGTCAGCTAGTAGGATTTCATCCTACAATGCAAGGCACATCGCGTTCATCTTATAGCTAACCAGGTGCTTTCGCGCCGCTGCGGGCGCGCTTGTTCCACAAGTCATTTCCGGCGGTCGCACGCTACTGCAAGCGAGAGGGCTATACTTAGAGCAACACATCGCGCCACAAGCCAAATATTTATCAACATCTTGACTAGCTACCCGGTCCTTTTCCGCATGCGCTCGCGCTGTGCTCAAAAATTGACGTCGTCAATCAATCAACATCAAAATTTTAGTTTTACATTTGACCTTTATGTCAAAAAATCTTTGAATTTTCAATCGGTGGTCGATGTTACCTGAGGACCTCAGGCTTCGTCCTTACTTCGTCACAGGACGATCGGAGCTCGAAGAGCGTAGAGAGTGCTGGCTGGCGTCGTCCTGTGATGGTCGACGTATTTTTGCTTGCTGGGATCCCGGGATCCGGCCGAATGACGCCACATGCAACGTGTAGGGTAAAACTAAAAACGCTTCCCTACAATTATATGAGATAATATTACAAAAATTGTTTTGGTCACGTGACCAGTCAATGACATTGATATTTCGCTGCGGACGGTTTGGTGGAGGGTTAGGGTGAACGTTTATACATTATAGGGTCAAAGTTAGGACTAGAGCTGTACACTATTGACATTGTGAGGGTAATGGTTAAGGTTTATCACTAGCGACCTTTTCATCTGACCACAATATTGCAAAATGCTATGTTGTATGTCACGTGACAAATTTAGCCGAGGGTCGGAAGTCGGAGGTCGGAAGTCAGTGGACTCTGTCGGAGTCCGGCGGACTCCGAGCGGAGTCCGCCGAGCTGGCGGACTCCGCCGGACTCCGCCGGATTCAAGTCTGGCGGAGAGGTCCGGCGAAGTCCACCAAGCACTCCGCCGGAGTCCGCGGCGGACTGGAGTCCGCCTAGTGGCTTAGTCCGCGGCGGACACTCCGCCGAGCCGCCGCGGAGCCGCTCGGAGTCCGCGGCGGACTTTAAAGTCCGCTCGGAGTCCGCTCGGCTCCGCTCGGAGTCCGCCAAAATGTACTCGAGTCCACTGTAAATACATTTTGGCGGAGCACCGCCGGAGTCCGCTCGGAGTCCGGCGGCTCCGCCGCGGACTCGACTCCGCGACGGATAGTGCCCTTTGTTGAGGTCATGCATCTCTCAAAAGTGATCTTTAATGATTTTTGACATTTCCCAAGATTCCATTTACCTGTACCTCAGCCTCAGGCTTTTCTGTTTATAACAAAATTCGGCGGAATGACACGCTGAGCGTCTCCCAATAATATTTCATACGTATCAAATTGGATGTTATTGGAAATAAAATAGCCGATAGTATCCCGGCACTAGCAGGGGACAGGATTTCGTTTCATAAAGTTTTTTTTAATAAGTTTAGATTTAGATACTGCCACTGGGGCCTTATGAGGTGAACGTACAAAGCGACAGCAACTAACCAATCAAAATAAATATGATTCACATCCAGTATTCAAATCTATAAATAGATTTGAATACTGGAGAGTGGAGGTGAATCATATTTTTATATTTAAGAAAAAGGCCAAAGAACCGATTTTTCTTCCTAAAATAGAAACACAGTGGTAAGTTTCTGTCTGTTCCCGTCCCGCACGGGCTCCGATATCACTATTAATAAGAATGTCGACAATTCTAGGGTGCTGGCATCACAGTTCCTGTCTAGTGGGAGACAAGAAATACAAAGTGATCCAATAGACGAACAAACAAAAATTACAATACAATCATAATAATTATTTGAAGAATTTTCACCATTTTGTAATCATATATTCTTAACGATATTACTAAAAATTTGAGAAATTAAGAACTTTAAAAGATGCTATTTGAAGCGTTACCATTACAGTAAATTTCTCTATTATAGATTGCATAATGCATATTGACCCCTAAACTTATAAAACACTCGAAATTATAACAAAGATGAAATGCACTTCATTTTCATGAACCAGGTCAGAACAGGACTGGTAAAAAGGGTTTTAACTTTTAAATAGTGGCAAATAGTGGCAAATAGTGGCAAATAGTGGCAAATAGTGGCAATGATATCCGTAACAAGGGTCAGGGATTGATAAACAACTAAAAGGATGACTCAGTTGCCTTCACGTTATTTAAATTAAAATTCTCCCTTTATAGTTCTATTTGTTTAACTAAATTCCAAAAGTCTAGTTGAACCACTGCGATTTTACCAGTCCTATTTTGTCCTATGTGACTCATCACATTATCTAAAAAAGTAAAACAGCATATCATATCTTTGTACTATGATCATCTAAAAATAGAAGCATTCATTCAAATGCCTATCAAATATCAATATCATTCAAGCTATAGCTATCAATTTTCCCTAGCAAAAATTTGAATTACTCAAATATTGATTGTTCACAGAGTTAAGACCTCAAGACCTGACAGGACATTCTTTCATCTTTCTTTTCTGAGCTTCTTCTGTTAATACTATCGAATAGATACCCTGCCTTGTTTCTCTGAAATATTAATCTTTTAATAATCAAAAACAGATGATCTGCGTAAGCTGAACTTTTTTGTTGTCAAAAGTAGTTCGCAAGTCAGAAGTGTTGTGCTCTCGAAGATTAGAGCTCAAGTCACCCATCCTGACAAGCTCTTTTAAAATTCTGTATAATTACAAAATATTATGACAGCATTATGACCATTACTTAATTTTTAAAGATTTTTAAAAGATTTCCCCCATACATGCCCGAATAAGAATGATAATTATCCTTTCTTCTAGTCTACCACTTGCGCCCACAATTACCACTTTTAAATGTTTTGTTTACAACTTTGTCCCATCAGTCATGAGTATTATTAGGTTATCTACAGTTTGTTAGGTGGATACGATTTTTATTCTCCACTGTTAATCCTTCAATAACAAATTAATTGATAAAATAATTGATTAATTAAGTAATGTACTCACCACTAGGGCAGCTAAATGTTCTTGTGGGTGTTGTTGAGGCCAGAATCTTCAGGCTGACTAATCTGCTGCAGCAGCTGTCTGAAAGAGCTTTAAATTTATTAATTCATCGATTGTTTTCTCGCTAATTACGAATAACCAGAATCTTTTCAGAATCTTTCCTGTAGCATAGGACTCGATTTATCTGAATGCTAGGCTCTTGCTGCCACATAATTTACATCATATGGCGACTTAAGGTCGAACGTATAAAGTCACTGTGTCCACTCTATGACGTCAATAAACGTCATGATTATGTCAACTTTTCCTCACGTTTACCTGTGCATCATTAGTTCGGGGTTGGAGTCTGAGCGAAGGAGTGCGTTCACTTGGTAGGAGGCTGAGGGGTGAGCTGCACGACCCGTGCTGGTGGCTACCTGTAACTACATTCATCAACTTTAGTTCAAGTTCTACAGTTTTTGTAGATAAGATTAATACACCATTATTAATCATTAGCTTATGTTCACAACTTTGCTTTAAATAAGCAAATTTCCCTACAACAATGTTACAATGTTTTTACAAGAAATTCGGTTATTCAATCAGGTCAAATATTAGTTGCATAAATCCATTATAATGGATTTATGCAACTAATATTTGTATACCGTGGACTCAAACGGAAATTTATCAAATTAGTGCCCGTTTATTGGAGATCCATTCCGGAAAATCTGGTTCATTCAGAACGCTTGAGCGACATTCAAAATCAATTTCCAATTACCAGCAAGGCAGGGGATGGCATTTAGTTTCATACAATCGAAAAATTTGTAAATTGCTTCTTGGATAATCGAATCACTGCCAATTTCCACTTTAATATCTGGACACTGTAAGATGTAAATCAGTAAATTATCCCCTAATTACAAACGAGTCTTATCATCAGTAACGGAGGGATCAGAGAGATGACGCTTATCAGATACCACAAAAACGACTACCTTACAAAATGTATCTACACGCGACGGTACAAACTGATATTTTGAAAATATCCATAAATTTTCGTTTAATAACAACATATTAACGATCACCATAACATTGTGATGGATTTGCAGATTTTATTTTTTAGCTTTAACGAAATTGTTGTAGTTAAAGTTAAACGCTAAAGACAATTTACAGATTTATATTATAAAGTAAAGTAAACCTTGTAGGCTGGATCGAAAAGCCGTTTTCTTTCCTCCAGAGAAGCATGGGTATGGGCTGCTGGTTGCGGAAACGGCGTCATGCCTGAAAAATAAGGTGTCATTGTTCAAGGTTCAGCGACTATAAAATATAGTGAGTTTTGGAAGGGACATTTCAGAGATAGAGCCGCGTGATAGCTGGATGGAATTCTGATGTAGGCTGTAAAGGTTGGCATCTGCAGGTGCAATTTTGCTTTGAGGACATGGCCTTTGCTATAAAGTCGGTGGAGATGAGAGGAATTTAACGTAATAACATTCCAAAGCTCTTCAATTCTGGGAAACTTTTGAGATGAAGCATTCTTGAGTTTGAAGTATTTATATATTTTAGGATGGCGAAGTCTTGAGGCACAATAACAGATCACGATTAGAATGATGGGACCATATAATTACTGATGTTGGAAATTTTGTGGTAGCAATTAGCTAGCAATAAATAAACGGATCAAGACCCAAATTCTCACACTTTTGACCTCCGTCCTAACTAAATTAAATCCCGTCAAAACACATAATTTTACGCTAGTCTTGTCTACATTTTTAACTTTTAAAACTTTCAGAATACTCAAATTCTTTCTTGTAATAAGGCGTGAACAATTTTAAAAGAACTTTAAAACTGCACACAATGAGCGTGATGTTATGGTTGCATTTTCTCCAAAACCTGTCAGATACCGAAATCATTAAATTTATCATATTTTATGCAAAAAATTTCATCTCTAAGTTTTTAGTAATGGCAGTAATTTCTCACCCGTGGAAATGAATTTTATGCGAATTACAGATGCATCAGGTATACTGTCTGGCTCCAAAATTCAGATTACCGTAAAAATTTCTCTGAGGACTAGATAATCAGGAATATTCGGGGGAGTATCATGGTTTCAACCGGGCCGGTTGAAATAATTTATTCAAGGCAGCTGCACGACCGCCGGCTCATTATTTTACTTGTATACATGTTTAACAGGAGGATAGGTCTGATTTCACAGTGAATGGTTAAGGCTCAGATTTACATCTTTACATGGTCCAGGGGTCACAGGTGAGAAATTGGAGTTCCGAGTGTGTGTTTAGGTCGATAAAAGGGTGAAGTGGTCCGATCTGGGCCGGCTCATGGGCTCTTACCCCAGTAGAGGTAATGAAGTTGGGAAAAATTATCCGATAAAAATGTTACCACTTATCGAATATTTAAGTGACGTAATATATGCAGTGAACCAAGACCGGGAATATAATAAGCGGTGTTGCAACAAAAAGAAGACTTAAGGATACGTCATTCAAATTGAAGAATTTGTGACTGTTTCTTTAAGAGAAAACAGATATCAATCACAAAAATCTTAATCAAACCTTTGGAATGCGCACCGGAAAAATGCATACCAGGGTAGATATTGTATCTGGGATCCACTGTTTGCCTCAAGCAATCGTATCCCCACGTGGCACGGGCATCTTGTTGCAGGTAACCGTATCCAGCGTGTACCGCCGACAGGGCATCTGTCGTGGGCGGCGACGTTCTCAGTCTCTTAACTGAAAATTGAAAATTAGTTAGAAAAATAGCAGCAAATTCATTTTTAATCGGGAAAAGTCTTAATGAAATTGGGGATTAGAGCTGGACCCAAAAAATATAGTTACAGGTTAATAATAATAACTGTACCGGTACGCAATTTATGTTACTCGCATAAATTTCGTACAGTAATTAAACCCGCTTTTCTGATTTACAAGAGGGTTACCTTGTAACCCTCTCCCTTTTGTAAATCTAAAAAGGTAATCTTATAGGGTTAGATCAGAAGTTTCTTCAATGGCTCAACCACACTTAATGATGAGGGTTGATTATCATCACCTTATAGATCATATACTGGAAGTGGACGAGATTTGTTTTCGACATGATTACACTTGATGGAAAATTGATGAGACTAAATTAAATTTCAAACCGTTTCAAAATGTATTGTCAAAGTGGTTTCTTAGGAACTGCAGGTCATTTTTCTATTACGTTATTGAGTAATAAAGCTTGAATATTTCTGTGTGAATTTCGTTTTCAGTGGGAAGTGATATTTGGTGCTAGTTTGTGTTAAACATTTCTGCTTCACTTTCCACCCATATTCAAGTATGCAGTATGCAGCCTCATCGTTTACAACTGAGATTAAAGGCCAATGACCCCAGTAGGTTTAAACTCAGTTTAAAAGTTTAAACACAGACCCAAACACAAAATGAAATGCAGAGAGAGAGAGAGAGAGAGAGAGAGAGAGAGAAATTTTTAAGCAGTCATCAAATTCCTTAATTCCCATATGGCAAATGATGAGGAAACATAAATCCATCAGATTCCTCAAATCAGAGTGATCAAATAAAACTAAAAGGGTGCTTTTCCGTGGCCTTCCAGAGAATTTCATGATGTAACTTGTCTACAATAGCCAGCGAATAAGGACTCAGCACATACGGTCGATCGCCCAATGTGTCAACAAATTGTAACTGTACTCTACTCAACCAAATCTGGGATAATTTTAAAACTCGCAGTACAGACATTTACCATGCTTTTACCAGCCAGTGATAAGCCTCGATACATATAAAAAATTTTAAAACAACCGGAATAATATATTAGCGCACTTGTGCTTCATCATTTCAACAGGTTCTGTTTGTTATTGACTAGAAACACAGAAAGTTGGTCTTCATGCACTCACCACTCCAAACCCTAGAACGCATTAACAGATGATAATAATGTTTAAAACTCCTGTTTCTATCTAGCTGGAATTGTCAAGCCTTGAAGCCTGTGTAGCAAATCATAAGGGCGGTATAAGTCTACGTGACAGACGTTTTCTTGTGCCGCGCAGCTCAGCCGGCAGATAAGGGTTGTTTAACATCGCAGTCATGCTTCATTAAGAGCAAATATATAACCTTCCCGCTCAAGTGACAGATAAAGTCGGAGATTACACCGTCTGTCAAAATTAAGCTTGTCTGTTTTTTGTCTAAAAGTATCAATACAATGCAGGAAAGAGACAGTTAAAGAGTTTATAGTACTTAATGTGAGGTCGGAAGGACTTCGTGGTAATCCCTACAATTCGGGATAAAAACTGGAATTCAAAAATAGAACCGATGTGTCTCAAGCGGGCAGTGAAATAATTCAACGTCAAATTAGTGTCATGGTGAAAAGATTCCCGCGTCACTTAGACCATCAAGCGATCAGAAATCGGAAATCAAATCATCCTGTTTAGGATATTTTCTCGTGTTTTTCAGGAAATATTTTATGTTTACCTGGTCGCTCATAACTGGTGGTATCGGGGGTCTGAGGCTCGTCAAATGTATCGTGGTATTCTGGTTTAATAGCGCTGGAGCACATGACTGGAGTAGTGCTTGAACAGCTGCTGTCCGCCTTCGGGAGAGAAATGTTAGTTTTCAGCAGAGCAATATTGGTGTTTCAATCAAAAAGTTGTTCAATAACACTGTAGACTTTGTATGAAATATATCGTCATTGAATTCAATTAATAAATCCGACCTCATGGTTGAACCAATATTGATAGCTCCACCAGAATATCATCTGTTTAACTATTAAATGTTAACGGAAGAATTCCAGAAACCCAACCCCGTCAAATTATAATTAATCTTGGTCAAAATGTCTCATCACGTGGCCATATTGTCGCATGAAAGGCAATTGTCTGGCCTATCAAAATTTGAGAAGTTGCTGTAAAAAGCTGTGAGGTGGCAAGCTAAGCATTTTGTTAAGCACAAGCTTCTTACACAAGTTTATAACCAGTGTTCGTGTAAACAAATATTTTATCTGCTTGTTTCGAAAATTCTGGACAAAATCGAATCTAAAATTTTTAATGCATCGGATACACTTATATCTCACATGCCGGTCCTATACAGGAGTATTAAAACTTTTGTGTCTGCATTTTGAAGTGTAGACAAAGTTTAATAATCTTGCAAAACAGAGGAAGAGGATATTCTAAATAAATAAATAGTCGAGTTTAAAACTTAAGCCCTACAAATTTTAAAACTCCCACGTAAGTAAGCTAAACAGTTAAAAAGTTGGAAAGTAGGAAGGTCTCTGACGGCAATTGCAAGCCAGCCGCAATTTAACTTATAACAAGGCGTTGATTATTATCCGCGGTTTAAAACATGACCATCTGGTTGCACATGCGGACAGGAGTTATTTTATTCGGTGCTGCAAAGTTGCGGAACCGGATCCTTAAATGTTGATTTCGTAAGATATCAGCACCCCTTGACTACACATCTTACACCGCAGCATGAAATCTCGTTATCAAGAAGTATTTGACACCCATTTAACTGCCAACCTAGCAGCTGCTTCACTGATATAAGACTGTGCTAGTGCAACCAAAATCAGTCCTCTCAAACGGCCAGACTACTGATAAAAATGACATGTGCAATGTTCTGTTCATCACAATACCTCTTGTCATACTAGACCCTGATGAAATGCTGCAATTCACCTACCAAACTACAGCTATAAGCATCTTATCGAGCTGGCTCTGGAACTCACCATCAGATTATTTGATTGCTGCCGTTTTAATGCCGAAAGTTTCCGCTCGTTTGCCATTGTCTGAGCCATGCTTTTGTTACGCATCTGGGTTGCTGAGCAGAGGTCACACAAACAGTGTTCGTAAGGACATGACCCTTTGTGACCGATTCGGTAGTTTGTCTGAAATAAGATGACCCATTGTGACCAAACTGTCAAGCTTTGGTGAAAGTACATGGAGTGGAAGTCATACTCCGGCTGATACATGTTGCTCATCACTGATGCTGTTTTGCCAGGAATAAGGTTCACTTTCACTTTTTTGGAAGAAGTTCTGGCTACACAATCACTAAACTCCGTTGCTGATTAAAATACGGTCGTCTGAGAATATCACCAAATGCTCCAGGTACAAGAGCTTTATTTGAACCCTCCCGAGGGATAATGATTCGGTGCTTCGCTCGTTTACATTTACCACATAATTTTTTGGAGACTCTTGCTATTTACTCGTTTTTAGCCGAATCCTAACAAAGCAAAATATGTGGCATATGTAAAATAAGTGACCAGCGCAGTACCACACACATACCGCGCTAGTGCCGCAAATATAGCGCAATACCGCAAGGGTGTCACATATATTCTAGAGGCTGTGAACTTGTTCACGAGGTCCTCAATGTTTGTTTAGGACGCTTCGTTCATTCACACTGCAATTCTAGGGACTTCGAACCGAGAGGTTTTCAGATTCTTGTCTGCCAGTGCCATGAGTCACATGATTAAGGGCAAAATCACAGGACACGGCTATAAGTCTCACTTGCTGATCTATACCCTCTCCGAAATTACCAAGTTTTTGCCATCACCAGCTAATTAGCACCCATATAATTGCCAGCAATTATACTATGGGAATCTCAAATTTGGCATGGCTGAAGTATCAATGACAGCTGTTATACCCCTGAGGTACGCTGCAGTCAACAATTACAGTGGTACAACTCATTAGCAGTGCGACTCATTAGTCCAACTTGGTTCTTAGAATAGCCCACATCTGCCTTCGATCGAGATGCAACTTGAGTAACCGAGTGGTAAATAATGCAAGCTCGAAAACTTTCCATTAGGGTGCATTAGCTTATGCTTCGTCGGATTCAAACCGCAGGAATATTTTTCAACAACCTTACCTAATACACCCAAACATCAACGAAACAACTTATAATTGTCACATCCAGATATTATCATATTCATAACTTATTCATAACTTATTCATAACTTATTCATAACTTATTCATAACTTATTCATAACTTATTCATAACTTATTCATATCATATTGACTCACTTCAGCAAATCCTGGCATGTGTTTCGGGATGGTAGACTTCCGTTCATTTGACATACACTTAGCCATGCTATCGTTGCGCATTTTGATGGCGTGACATTGGGGGCATTTGCAGCTGAGGTACTCACAGTTTTGAGAGTGACCTTTCCTATACACAATCTGAAATAGTTTAACACGTGCTTAAGGTGAATAAAAACACGTGCTCCAATACGGTTATACATATCAGGAACGTGCTTTCACTGTACGATTGAAAATCAATATGCACGAGTGAGATATGATTGTGTGTGCTTGTTTGCACTTTTAATAAGAGCTATTATAATTTGGGATAATTATGCTTGATGTGCACAGCTGCTATAGAATTCAGATAGATTTGCTGAAATAAGAAAATGCACAGAGCGTTGTGGGTTATGTTTGGTGATAAAATGTATGAATTTAATAAAACATCGTATTGAATATTTGTAACTGGGCGCAGACAGCTAGCATTTGTTCCGCCCAGCATACGTTTAAAAACTCATCCATTAAAACTTCATACAAGATCCAAACCTCATTACATGACAAATTTAAAATAACCTTTAAAAGGTTAGGTCTATTTAAAACTTTTTAAAACCACCAACCTTTCCGTGGTTTTTACATCTCGCGCACGTAGGCTTGCTTTTCACCGTCGGTTTGGGAGCTTTCTGTGCGTCTTTAGTGAGCATCGCGGGTATGTGGGATATTGTGACTTTGTCTACTGCAAAACAGGGAGATTTAGAAAAGATTTAGAGGATGTTATGAGGGAACAAAGGGAAAATCTTAGAAAAATTGAAGGGCATAAGGTTCAATTAAAGAGTCTATGGATTGGAGTAAATTACTGATAAAAATGTGGCTAAGAGCATTAGAGCATATCGAGGTTGTTTAAGTTTTAAGATTTTATATTTAAGAAATACAATATTTAAAATCAAAGAACTGCAATGAACTGTTAAAAAGGAAAACACTCGCTTGTCTGTCAAATTTTAAACGATTTTAAAGAAAGACGTTGGAATGCCACAAAATACGTGACGTTACTTTCCCTGTATTCTGTAACATGATGAATCACAATTCCGATTCAAATACTTTAGTGTACAAGTGTATAAACAGTTCGACATATTGACTTATTGTCTTGAATACGTGGATTGAAGAGAGAAAACAATGAGTTGCACTTGTTGAGGGTTGAATCCATATTACTCGTTAACACTTAACTTAGGGATACTCAAATTTCCCGCATGTCGGCACACACAAAAACAGTCTTGATATGGCCGCCATTGCGGTACACCGTACACGAATCTTAATCCTTGCCATCGATCTTTTACGAAACGTAAGAAATTATAAGTTCAGTAAATAGGAGGTAAAAGATTACCCAGACGGAAACTGACCTATATCCATCTTCACATTTACTGTGCGGAATGAAAGCAAACACCAGCAAGCGAAGAAAAAAGAATCCCGTCTCCAGGTCACCGTAATGCGTTTACCAGAGCAGAAAATTTTATGCTCATACATAATTTCAGCATATTTTAGACCAATGAGGGAAGAGGTTGAGGAGAGGCCGACCAATTGGCGATCTCTGCTCAGGCATGCTGAGCCTCCTTCCTGACGTTCGTGAATCATACTGTAATTTTCCCTGCTCGTCAAATCCCCTTCTCCCGATATGAACTATTGATATGTGGATCTCAGTCGGCAGCACGGCAGCTGCTTCATGTCAACTTCATGTACAGCATATTATTCTGGGACAATTTCTTGGGAAACATAATGTGTTTTAGGAACAAGTCATACTTGCAAAATGGCAAAAAGTTGTTGACTTGTTGGTCGGGTAATAACTTTGCGGAGTGGAAATGACGCTGGTGTGTCTAGACAGGGGACTGTTTCACCCGGACCGTCATCTTAATCGTGCATTTGTGCCGTTTAATTATCCAGTTCTGACACCCCGGACAGGATTTAACGATGGTGTCACGGTTTGTTCATGGATTGCCAACTAGACATGTTAGGCGGTGAGCCTCGTACAGGTTCAGGAGAGTGAGCACCATTATTTCCCTGTTGAAGATGTGCTGCGAATGTATTGAGGAAAACATAACGTATGATGCGGACTTTTTACAGTGTACCCATTGGAGATTCGCACGCGTGTGGTAGGACCGGACGTTGGGATCAGCCGATGATTGAAACGAAAATTAGTAAGACCAAACCCTAAGACAATTAACTTTTTCACTTCGATTTTGACTGCTGGGCACCAACTGATACCATGCGAGAAGTCTTGAAGTGTCCAAGATTTTGACGCTCTTATTTGTACCGAAAGTGACTAATGTTGCTCCTTAGGTTCCAGAGTTATAGGATTGTTTGCCAACTGTTGCAACCTGTACTTCATAAATGGGCAATTTGTCCACTGCTAATGCTATGCATATTCTACAGAAGATTTCCAACTAATTTTCATCACTCTCCGGATATTCCCCGTCAATAAAATAACGTGGTACACACGTGACCACGTTAACCTGGTGTTGATTGGACTTGTAGGATCTCCGAAACCTTACCCAATGCATTTTGAATGAATTTTAAAACTGTTTCAAACGCAGACGGTCGGTCCGAGTTGACACTATGTGTTCCATTTAGTGGAGATCGGTAAAGTGGTTGATGATTCAGAATGGTAACTTTATAAAGGAGCACTTTGGTCATTCCCTCATACCCGGGGATAACTGACAATTGTTGATGGATCGAAACCCTTGCGGTGACTGGTAGATGATAAACGTCGTTATCAAAGCTCTCGTGTAATAATTGACAGTTCACGGTTACTTGCGCCCGTCTTAGGTAGGGACGGCTATCAAAAATGTCACCAAATAAATATATTACACATGACTGATTTCAGAATCCTGGTATTTTCACAGTACGTAGGCATATGTGCAGCTGTGGGATGGAAAGTTATACTCAGGAGGAACTACTGAGAAGGATTAACTTTGGTCTGCGAAAAGGAAACTTGTGGTTTTCTTACGGTTCCAGGGCTAATTTGAAGACTGGTGATATCTGATAGTCTGTTTTCCGGACTTTTGGAATTTTTCAACAGTTTCACGCCAGTTATAGGTATGTGATCTAATGTAATGGTTCTTGGGTCATGCAATTTACATCGTGTAGGCTTCAGCTTGGCAAGACCAATGTCCCTGGCGATGACATTTTGCTGTGATGGAACCCGACAGAAACTTGGTTATTTGGAACAAAATTCCAAATGATATTTAATGCAATTTGAAAACAGTTACTGTAATATATACCGTAAAATCATAGTCAAAGAATCATTTTGATAAATATGAGTTCAGTCTTCATTAGAGGATGATGCAAGACTCACTTAATACCGGGTACTCGGAGTTCACCCCACACCGTTTGAAGTGGACGTGAAATGTGCGGAAACTTAGGGAGAGTCGATATTTAAATGTTTGGTTGACTATGAGAAATAATGTTTTAAAGGAGTCCCCTGCATGTCAGATGTGGTATGAGAAATACACCTTGGCTTCACTAGGTTGGTGCTGATGTTTTTAAAGTAGGTTAAATCGCACAGAAATCTAATCATCTTTTTGTTGTTACTGATAGTTTGCTTTAAATTTAGTATCAAGAGCACCAGATCACTGCCCGTATAAATGATCTTATAGGTAAATATAAAGACCTCGAGTATTTATCAAAAGTTCAGCAAACGACACGAATTTTAACCTTGATTCCCACAAAAGTTAAACTAATTGTTTTACGGAGTTACAATGATAGTTTAACTCTGGATTAAAATTGGTATGATAACAGGACGTGACGCCCAGACCCAACACTTACTCTAACAGTAACTCTAGCCCTAACCCTAACTGTAGCCCTAACCCTAACCCTAACTGTAGCCCTAACCCTAACCCTAACTGTAGCCCTAACCCTAACCCTAACTCTAACTCTAACTCTAGCCCTAACCATAACCCTAACTGTAGCCCTAACCCTAACCCTAACTGTAGCCCTAACCCTAACCCTAACTGTAGCCCTAACCATAACCCTAACTGTAGCCGTAACCCTAACCCTAAGTCTAACTCTAACTCTATACTAGCCCTAACCTTAACTCTAACTGTAGCCGTGACCTTAACCATAACCCTAACAGTAACCCTCATCCTAACTCTAACCCTAACTCAGTTATAACTGGGACCCTAACTCTAACCGTAACTCCAACCCTAAGTTCCTTACCATAACCCTTATCCTGACCTTACTCTAATTAAAAATCTAATCGTTTACGGATTACAGAGGGAGTAAATAATCGATTTTCCGATATTTTTACCAAGAATCCTGAATGTAACCAATTTTTGACCTGAAGGTGTCACAGATCGAATTAACAGTGAAATAAATCACGCTTAAAAAACATTTTTGGATATATTTGAACTAATAATCTGGCCGGATATTGTATTTAACTGAGTATGTAACGGGGAAATACCTCAAAAGTAAAGATTTTCATTTATAAATACTTCGGCACGGGCGAGGTCTCGTTACGAACGCATGAAGTCTACTTGCCTACTCCTTATTATTGACGATAATCTCTGTATCTTGGCAGAAATGAGAATAAATTAAATCAGTTGAATTATTATCCCATTTACAATTAGATTATATCCTTAGATCGCTATGAGATCCTATTCAACTTGCGGATTGACATTAAAAACATTAACTTTGATATAGTATTTTGACAGTTCAACGATATAAGGTTTGCTAACAATGACGTAAATATTGTCGATATTTTTTTAAAGATTATTATAAAATACAACTCAAATTTCAACGAATTTTGATTTCTTCGAATACAATTTTAACCGACAGGATAAAAGCACGTATTAGTTACCAAAGAAACAATATACGGCCGTTTTTACGACCTGATCATTCGCCATTTCCAATAACTTTCCACCAGCCGTTGTCAGAAATTACATCAGGTGGTAAACTTTATGTCGACCTTATATTACGTCGTCGTAGAACTTAAATGTCGATAGTCCGATTTCTCAAATATTCATTAACAGAGCGTTTTGATCGACATTATAATTAGAAAATATTGAGCTACAAAACACACGTGAAGAGGCTCGGAAACAATTTATGCTACCTTTAAAAGGTTTCAAATTATATATTACATAATGATGTAGGAAGAATCGTAATTCAGTGAGTTTCAGGAATATTCTACAAAGCGGAAGTAACTTGAAACACGTCTACCCGGACTTCGGGATACGTCTACCCAATCCCGGTTAACCACAACAATAATTACAGGTTATGAATTGAAGAAACTTAATGAAATTTTGAAAAAATTAGACCGGGCATAATTTGGTTTCTATTCTGTTTAATTTTGGCGGCCTTTTCCCTGATACATCATAGGTACATGCACGTTGAAGACTATCTGGATTCTGGACAATTGTTTAGCAAATGGCGGTGTCTTGCTCTACTATTAATCCTAATACATATAAAGACATGGTATAAACTATAACAGAATCGCAATAGCCTTTTTCTGCCCTGCTTGTCGTTATCTAAATTTGCGGGAGGAACGAAAGTGGGAGGAAATTTTTTTCATAAGATTTATATATGATGTGGTTGTACTAAAGTTTTATTTTCAATAAAGCTCTCGTCGATCCAAAATGTGTCAAACAAATTTTTTTGCTGCTCCTCGACCAAACGTTTTATTGGCTTTTTAAACTTGAATCGTTTTCATTAATCAGGTCGGAAATTTAACGAACTTTTATTGAAATTGCCGACCTGACGAACGGAGACGACTTTATTGTTCACAAACAGGTGGGCGCCTGCTTACCTATCGAGGTCTGGCAGTATTTCGTCACTTGATACAACAAATTTCAAACTATCAAGATAAACATGATTTCACCGTGGACGCTAAGAGAATGATATCATTCAATTTCAGGGGACCTGCTTTTTTAATTTGTCTCAGCTCAAATTGAATAAAATTGATGTTTGTAAGTAAGCAATTAATTTTGGTTCGGGTCGTGCAAAATCATGAATTGTACATGTTAAAGGGCCTGCTTGCTTATTTTCAGTTTGAATCCCTTGAAAAGTCGTTTATGGGATAAAACATTGATTAAATTCACATAATAGCTACCACTGATCGTGGATTGGCTGAATATATAGTATATACCTATAAATTGTGATCAAGTAGTGAAAATAAGCAAGTCGTGCTATTTTAACGGACCGATTTCAGCTGGAATGACCATACAGCGGCCCACATTTTACTGATTAAAGTTTACCTGATTCCAGGTGGAACAGCCCGAATCAAGAATACAGCCGGCAGATCAACCTAAATGAGTAGATTTTTGTGGTTCTCCATTTATAAAACAAATTTGTCAACTTATTCGGTACCATCGCATTTTGCAGAGTAGCCATTTTTCGAATTAGGATATGTTCGAAAAAACAAATCCGGAAAGATGGCAGAAAAATTCTAAATTTAGCAGAATATTTGAATAAATCAAAATGTACTCGAGCAAATAAAACTCCGGTCGTTTTTATCAGCAGTCAACTTACAGTCGATAAGATAATCCCATTAGCTAACAAATTTAAGACTTTGAATTAAGGATTACTTCCACATATACAGTACGCCATTACTCGTTAATTTATAACTAATACTAATGTCTAATCTATACCATAAGATAAGTGCAGATTGTTATCATTTGGAGTGCAGTCTCTGAATTAACCAACAATATAATCAATAAAGTGGCTCATTGTAAAGAATTGGTTGATTTATAGTAAGCACTAGAAACTTAAACTCAAATATCAACTATTAAAGTTTATTGATGCACGTATAGTCTTCATTACTGTAACCAACTTAGTTGAATAACTTGTTTTGAAGCAACAGATACCCCTTTGTATTGTAAGCCCTTATTGTACGACAATGTATTAAAATGCGTATTACTTATATAATGCCTTCACATTAAAATCAAAACTTTAAACAGCTTTAAATGCAGTAGAATATGTAAAGTTGTATAAGAGTTTTAAATTATTTTAAAATTGCTCACCGGATGGAATTTGATGGATGTTGATGCTGTCTGTCCCTTCTAACCCTGTCATGGAGCAGAAAATTAACAGAATTGTAAAACATCCACTAAATTACTTCAGCTACCATATATCTTGCGGTACAAAGTTATCGGTCGTATATAATTTCGAATATATTAGTATTAATATAATTTTACAAATCGCAACAAGCTGACAAGGGCAGATTTTAAAACCGAAACGTCCACAACAAGCGAGCAAAATGATATCGGCGGATTTAATCTTGAGCCGTAGCGCTCGTGTCGCGTGACGTCACGTGACACTCACGTGACAGTCCACCTGACACGGTCACGTTACTTAGTAACAGCGCTCACGTGCTCAAAACGCAGTCCACGTGGTTGATGACAGGTTTATGTCTTTTGTCGGGAACTGTGGAGTTTGTATCGAGATCTTGGTTCCCTTCCCGACACCCAGTTTAGGGATCCTCACCCCTCGTCAAGTCTTGGTCACGTGATCAACCAGCCGTCACGGTCACGTGTTATTTTCGAAAATGAAATCTCTCTTAACTCAATTGACTCGCTGTTAACCAATGGAGGACGACCTTGTTTTCGGAGAACGATTGCTTGCTTGCTGCCTCCTTGACAAACTAACATGCACGTGACTGCCTCTATTAAAACTGCAATTGATACGAACAATTGCACGGTGGTAACCACTATTATCGGAGAAAAAGGAAGGTATTTTTAAAAATGAGCTCCTTACGATCAGCAGCTGTACTTTATATACTTTACACGTTGACACTAGTGTAGGTGAGATAATATTGCTCCTCAAGATAAAGAAACTCCGATAAAAGCGAGCGTTGTCTTTTAACACAGCTCTGGTTTTTCAGAGCGACAAAAGTATTTAAATATCGAGGCAGACAGGATCTCATGGCAGAAACAAAGAAATTAGAGAAGAAATATAAAGCGACATTAAATAGGAAAAGACCGAATGGTTTTCATTGAATTTGTTGTTAATATATTGAGTTTATTTATAGCTGCCGGGGTAGGATGTGTAGATTATGGAGGAGGCGGATTTTAAAGACGACTACTTTACTTCGAATGCAACAAAGCTATCGTTAAAAGCTATACTTTTTTAATCGTTTTGTTGGATATATCATTATCAATGGGTCAGATCATCAGTATAAAACACCTGTTTTTAAACAACAATAAAACATTATTAGGATTTAAGGAATATTAAAGTAGTCTACTATTACTTATACTAATTAAATCGATTTTGGGAGGTAATTTGTTTAGGCTATTCAAAATCATAAATCTCACTTTGCGACAAAGGGAAGAAAATACCAATAAAGCAGATAAGCAGAAAGCATCGTCAAAAGCGAAAACAAGGTAAACCAATTACAGTGAAACTGAACATTTTATCTTTTATCCACATGCTAGCTTATCAGTCTCCCTTTAGACGGACCATATAGATTACTGATTAGTAGATTTGTTGGTACTTAGAATTATCCGTTTACACAGTTTTAAATTTGTCCATGTTTTAACATAAACTTGTAGTTGTAACAATAACATAACTTGTAGCTGTGAATGCTGATAGATTACTATGAGAAGTTTTTATGTTTACACTCTCAATTTATTTCACAATTTATCTACGAAGGTGGAACAAATTGAAAAGAAAGTTTGGGAGTTTCTTTTTTAGCGTTCACGATCATATAATGATAATTATGTCCGTTGACGCAATGCCCGTCCAACAATTACAAACGTCTGATAAGGTAGTTAATTTTATTTTAAATTGCAACCTTTCCGAAGTTAAATCGGTCTGGATTATAAGTTAATATCTAACCATGTGTGCGTATTAGGGCGAAGTAAGGAAACTTTTAAAAATCCAGTTACAATTTATTTTATCAGAAATAAGCGGATAAGTTGTTTTAAAAAACGGTTAAATGAGGCTAACCTTAAACTTATCATTGTTGTATTGATTATAGAAACATAATGAAAATACCGAATGGCAATCTGTAAAGCTAAACTTAAATATCGACATTATTTGGTATTGAAACATTTCAAAATATCGCCAAATGACGTAACTTGTATCAAATTCCTGGAAATCGATCACCGTGTTTGCAAATCTGTATACCCATATTTAAGTTTAGGTTTATAACAGGTTTTGTTTCTACACACAAAAGTTAGGATTTAAGATTGTTTAGCAGGTCAAAAAACTATAGCCCTCCGTGCGTACAGCGTAGGCAAGGTAATTGGGAAACAAAATTACCTGACACGGAATTGAAGACGGCAGTACGAGTAAATCAAAAGTGACACAAATTGAATTAAGTTGCATCAATTTAAGGGTACAGAAAATAGAGGTTGGCACTTGGCAGCAAATCGAAGAAATATAAATAGAGGAGGCACGGCTAAGTGACAAACACCGGAAGAAAATGCCATTCTAAATCAATGATATTGATGCACGGTAGATTGACACAAAAATGGTAGATGTGGAAACCTTCATACTCGAAAATAGTTCTCATGTATCTAATATAATAATAAATAATTGCCAATCATGAAAATTCTAAATTGCTCTCATCCAAGAGTTTTTCTCCCTCTCCGTTCAGAAAAATGCTGCAAGCAAGCAGCTGGGATGTCCTAAAAACTCATTAAAAATTCTGCGTGGTTTCTTACTAAAGAATTTCCTAATTCTAAGAATCTGTTAGTCACCATGAGAGAGTACCAACAGTAAAGTACGAGCAGCTGCCAGTATATACAACACCACAGCTCGGTAAAATGGTGACCAAAACAGGGTATTGTTGCACAAACACTGGCCGAAATCTGAAACGTTGAATATCCAAACACTCGAGAATAGTTATATATATTATGTTTCACAGACTGCACTGAGGCTACTGTATTAGTGAGGTCATAGTTCCGAAAGTTACAAACAAATCCATGTTTAATAAAGAAACGGTGCGAGTTCATCAATAATGATGCATTATACCTCAAACTTCTAATGCAACAGGATCATTAGTCAGCAAATAGCAGTAAGGACATTTGTAAAGATTATAACGATAAATCACGCCGTGATCACGTACGCTGTCACGCTGCAGCGTGACATGTCCATGATCAAAGACGGCAAAAATCGAATTTCTGCGGAAGTAAAGTCCGTACGTAAATTTCACAAGCAAAACACTCGCAGAAATTAGTGACGGTATCAGGTTTATGAAAAGATTCGGGTAAGTTGTGACTGATCTTATAACCCGAAAAAAGTTTTGACATCAGACTGGCGCAGCAGAGGTCTCAGATTCTTTACTTATAGTTATTGGTACAATTGTTGTGAATGCTATCCATGGATCATTCTCATAAAAACATAATAAGCGTGGTAGCGTAATGTTCCAGATATCATCACCTTCAGGGGCTCATATTTTTTGTTAAATTTTCGTACATTTATTGAACTATTACATCAAAGTTTTTAAAATCGTATCAAACTGTCCAAAACCCTCTTGGCGACTCCAGATTTCACTTAGTTCGACAACCTCATTAACCTTGTGCATGGTAACGACCGACAACTATGAGATATTTAATCAAGGCTGAAAACTGGGAAAGCTAATGATTTCGGCCAGACGTCCCCTCCATTTCCTTCTTTTTCTCCAATATTGTAGATATGAGATAGGGCCCCCGCAATGGGAATTCATCGTGATTGCGGAAAATTATACCGCTTAATGCGGGTATTCGAGTGCAGATAGTTGGTTTACTTATTTGCTACTCAAAATATCTTGTTGGTGTGTATTCTAGTCGTTCATTTTCTCCCGTGGATATTTGAACATTTCCTTTGGAGATCCTGAAACCCCCCCCCCTCATTAAACCCCCGCCCCCGCCCCCCCCCCCCCCCCCCCCCCCATTAAACCCCCGGCGACCTGCCTCGACTAAGTAGAAGCTGATTAAAGCACCTACCTCGCCCCATCGCCATCAGGGCAGAATGCGCTTAACCGCAATGGAAAGATAATTGGCCTGCTCATTGTAAATTTCATTTGGATGTCGCCCAAAAGGCAAAATAAGAGACTGAGCACACTTTTCTGCGGGTATCTAAGTTACGGACCTGGAAATATCCTGAAAATTAGATTTATAAAATAGGAAAGCTTGTAAATCCTGTAAATCCTGTAAAAGCTTATAAATTTATGGCCGGATTATGAAAACATTAAAATACTGACAATCTTCTAATTATTTCAGATCAAATTCTGGTGTTCTGGCTACATACAGATATTCTGACTAAATTTCAAGAGCAGATTTTTAATTCAATCTCATCTTATTTAGCCACGGCCGCACCAAAATATGATCACTAACTTCAGAAATAGGTTTGAGTTTGAAATAGTTTGAAACACATATTATCTTTGCTTCCTGCCGAGACAATTAGACACTACCTGCAATGAGCTCAACATCGAATTAACCTTGTGGAAAATGTAGGTAGTTGAATGGTTAAAGTGATACTTCAGCAACTGTCACTTCAAGACCAGTGCAATTTTTGAGGAGAGATTGAAAATTTGTGTTTTTGTGAAGATAATTCATAACGGAATCAAAATAATCTGTAATGTCTAGTCACGGACTACGGCTGACCGCTGACGGTATTTGTATTTAAAGCTGTAACCAGTCTTATGACACTTGCTGATTCGCTACTAAATTTTGCCAGAGATAAAAGAAATGCTTGATAACTTCCTCATTTCAAATCCGTTTCGTATCATCTTTAAGATCAGATGCAGCAATTTAGCAATTAGTGATCAACTATAATATTCAAAAATGGGTTGTATAGCATATTTGCAAAGACCAGTGTTAGCAATATTTGAATGAGCATGGTCTAAAATATTCGAATATTTAACTTTTGACGACAGAACCCTAGAACCAGTAAATACAGTATGCCATCTACAAAGTGACAAGTCTCCAATATGAAACATGCCTATAGGATCCAACATATGTATACTGACATTAGCCCCCCCCCCCCCTATTAGCCACACCCCCCCCCCCCCCCCCCCCCCCCCTCCTCCCCGCTGTATTTTTGACGATTACAATTGATTTTTGCCGCAATAATAAGTGCAGATCTGCGAGTTTATTTGGAAAGTTTATTGTGACATGGAAATAAAGATCTCCCTTTTAACTTTTTAAAGAGATATTGTGATCTAAG